GCTCCGTGTGTTGCTGCAACACTGTAAAAATCTCAGACACCTCCTGTGTGTAGCTTCACTCCATGCCCTCGTGATGTTTTGGAAACAGCACACACACACACACACACACACACACACACACACACACACGATTTTGTGAGTCGAGCGTTGCTTTGTTTATAGATGACAGGAAGAAGTCCTGGACTGTGTGGGCCGGTGACGCAGGACTTGCACGTATGCGTTGCGTTAAAACTTGACTTCATAACAACAATCACAAATCATGCAGCTCTCCTGCTAACGTGTCGTGCTAGCTATCAATGCAATGCAGGCGACGTACACAAGAAATACAATTTAAAAAAAAACACGCTCTGAGCAACGTGACGCCACTGAACCACTTTGACACATTTTCTTAAATTCCTTTAGGAAATAATTTTACCCTCAATAATCAGACAGATATTTCTATTGCCCATCGGGTTTGTACACAAACCTGAGGGTAGCCGGCGGCTGACGAGAGAGAAATGAGGTTTGACAGTTTTATCTGAGTCTGACAGCTTTTTAATTAAAGTGGAGAAACAGTCAATGTGCTGCAAAACACTGAATGAGTCTCCACATAATTCAATTGAATTACCTGTTTGGTTTGGAATCTGCTCAGCCCCAAACATTTCAATCACTTTACCTTGAGATATTTCATCCTTTTAAGCAGCAAGTGATAAATGGAAAGAGTCTGAAAACACGTCCTCACTCTCAAGGTTTGACCCTGAACAAAGACAGAAACACGATGGTTCAGACTGAGCCCTCTGAAAAACATTCAGGATAAGGTTGGAGCATTTCTTTAGCTGAGGATTAGTTTAATGACCAATCTCAGAATAATATTTCTGTATAAGTAAAAACAGTTGATATGGTTTCAAGAACAATATCAACTGCAGATAAAGTGCAGATAAAGAACTTTTAAACACAATTGTTAGAAAAACTTTCCCAATACAATCTTACAATCACCAACAAAAGCTGAGTTCAGCTCATGTTATTTTCTAACCACAACCCTTTTATTTAACATCTCTGAATTTATAAGAATCACAAAACTCAAGTGATGACCAATTTTCACAATATGACTCGTTTCATTTTATGAATAAACTCTCGCTCCAGATGTTCCTCTGGTTTTGAATCACGTGTATAATACAACTGGTAGCACTGAGCACTTCTGTACTGTAGTATTATTAGTAGTAGTATGTGGTTCTCTGTATAATACTCCACATATTACATCTACATATCCAACTTCATCTGTATATTTTTGCCCGCTCTTTATTTTCACGAGCAGCAGACCGAGTTAATTCACTCACAGCTGGGATGTGTGTTATCTCTGGAAGACACGGAGGGATACATTTACACAACTTTAATTCACACCAGCAGCTGCGAGGTTGTAACGTGACTGTGTGTGTGTTCACATATACAGTCGGAGCTCCGGTTGTGTGTCTGGGCTCGGCCCTGTGCTGTGTTTGACTGTCGGACATGAACGTACATTATACTGTGTGTGCAGCTGGCCGACGCAGACGGGATGATAGGGAGTTAGCCCGATCAGCTGTTCCACTGTGAAAATCTGTCCAAACTCATCTGCTCCCGTCGCTGCCAAGCACTAATCCACTTAATGGCTTCACTTGATGGAGACGAAGACGGACAGAAAGTTGAGCCCGGTTTTTTTCAACAGTTCAGTCCAACGTCTGATGAAAGTGATCGGACCTATTAAGAAGCACGCACGCCAAGGAAACGTGTTCCGTGGTGTCGTCAGCCGGTTATTTTGGCTTCACTTTTGTGAACTGTATTTACAGTCTATGATTTAAACCACGACAGGCTGGTGAAAATGTCAGTTACAGTTTATTTATCGGACATTTGCCTTCACACATGGAAGCAGTGTGTGTGTGTGCGTGTGTGTGTGTCCTCGTCTCAGTCTGTCCCTGTCTCATTTAGACACGGAAAATGCTATTTAAATCAAATGAATGCAGGTGTGGAGGACAAGCCGTGGAGTTAATTAACACAGGGACAGTAATATTTGAAGGGGCAGGAGATGAGGAGAGAGGGCACCGAGCGAGGGAGACGTGTTTTGTCTGCGTGAAGCGAGAAGAGTGCTTCTGAACGTCCTCGTGAAGGAGACGTGAGAGTCAAACGCTTCCGTAACGGCAGGTTAAAGAGGAGCAGCTGAAGTGATGTTGTTATTTTGGACATACTTGTGTTATCTGCATTATGAATCATATGCTTCCTGCCAGCTTGTCTTCCACCTGATGTTTAACATAACCTGCTCAGTGATTTTAATCCTGTCTGGGCCGGCCTGACAGATTACTCACATCAGCTCCTCAGACATAATTAATTTTTTCATTTGAACTCACTGACCCTCCTGTAAATTAAATCCCTACAGCCTCCACAGCTTCACCCTCATATTTCAAAGTTGATTTTTCCTCCCACAGAAAGTGTGAGGTTGGACTCTTGTATAAAAAAACGGAGGGAGCCAAGAACATGTAGAAGAGTTTGGTTCGGAGCCCGTTAAGTTTATAGTTGTTTATAGTTGTAGGTTGGACAGAATGATATCATATGTTTGTGTTCGAGGAGGGTTTCTGGCTCGTCCACCTCTGTTTCAGAAGATATCCTGTAATTCTCCACTGAGTTTAAACGGTCAGGTGTCAGGTCGCGTATTGAAACGTTCCACCTGATGGTGGCGCTGGAGGAAACAGTCAGAGGTTCACCAGGAGTCACCGCGGTTAATCCCGAGGGGAGCTCGAACGTCTGCACCAAATTTCATGGTTATCGTTGTTAAGATATTCTGCTGAAGAACCACAAGCTGCCGCTGCACATGCACAGCAGGAATTTTAATCAGTCTGTCAGATGTGTATTATCACACAGAGAATGTTTATTTTGTTCCTGAAGTGACCTGACTTCTCTAAACCTGACCTGGAAACCTGTGAGAGCGGCCGGGGCTGTGGTTCGGTCTCTCGGAGATTTCACACTCACATGCCCGAGCTGCCCTCCGTGTAATCCCTGCAGAGGGAATACTGGAATGTGGGAGACGGGCTGTTTATTGTATTTTCAACAAGTGCGGCAGCGAGAGGAGGAGGCACGGTCACACATCCTATAGTTTATCACAGTGATGGAGGAAACTTTTGAAAAAAAAAATCCATGCCAGGCTCCAGACTGCAGGTAAACAGATGGATGGATAAAAACAATGTGCTGCACGTTAACCGCCAGAACTTTAACCGCTCCAGCTTGTAATTTCAGTTCCCCTCAACAAACCTAATCACATTATTTCTCCTAAAGCAGAGAGGAGCCTGTGTTTTCAGAGATAATTGACTTCTTTAAAACTGTTTTATAGCAGCGACGCCTGAACACAACATATCGAGGAGCACTACTGAAAAAACACACAGTTAATAAACAGAGACACAGACTGTTGCCCACATCAAGCCAAGGTTTTAATTATTGGTGGAACAACATTCAGGAACAAATGAAAACCTCTTTACGGTCATTTTAAATCACTTATCACTTGATGGTGGGTTTTTTTTCCTTTGTGGACTTTTTCTGTCTCTGCTCTTTTTCTGCATCTTCGTTGTTGCAGCTCTATTTTCTCCTTTTTCATCTGTTTTCATGATGTTTGTTTTCTCCACAGTTGTTTTGCAGTCTCATGTGGTAGTTTTGTGTCTCTACGTTGTTATTTTTAGTCTCTTTGTCGTCCTCGTGTGTCTCTTATTAGTCGTTTTATCTCTTTATGGTAATTCTGCGTCTCTCCGTGGTCGTTTAGAATCGTATCTTTGTAGTTTTGCATCTCTCCGGTCATTTCTGCCTCTTTGTGGTGGTGTTGTGTGTTTTCCATTATATCTCTCTGTTGCCTTGTCTTCTGATAGAGAAGCTCCATGGCCCTGGAGGTCAGGGGGCCCCTGAGCTGGGGCCCATCCAGTATAATCCATCCACGGCCACGACATGATTTACCACTGACTTTCTTCGACACCTGTAAATCACCGGCTCTGCAGAAGCTGTGAGATCAATGAGGTTCGAGGAAACGTGAAGTCTGTGATGCTCAAATACCTGGAGCTTTGTTTGCAGACTGCTTTTGATCCATATCTTTCACTTTCAGCACATTTCTCCAGCTTGTCTCTGATTCCGTCCCGTGTTTCTCCGTCTGAAGCCTCTTAGCATGTTTTTATTACGTGTGTGTGAGATCTGTTTTCCTTACGATGTAGAAACCACTGCATTAGAACGGGACCGTACCACGGGATGTTTACATCTGGAACATCACTGGGCTGAAGGGGGTCGGAGGTCACGTGGTCACATCCTGTTCTTCATATGTCAAAGTCCTCTCCCACCCTTTCACTATAAGTCTGTCACGCTCCGATTCATGTTCACTACACTTTTTTGTCAGCTGATCCCACCTGGTTCGCGCCCGAGTTCACACACGTGCAGAAGGTGAAAGTCGTTTTAAAGATGGAAGACGCGATCGTGACGCGTGGTGTTTTCCTCCCTGTGGTCGTGTAGAGATTTAGTGACGCGTGTTGAACCCAGAGGGCACGTGATGGAGCGTTTCTTGTGTCTGTGGCTCATGAGAAACGTTCAATTCCCTGGGAACTGACAGAGTTTCTAAAATCATACCGCAGCTCCGTCTAAACATCCATTCAGACTAATATCACTCAGCTCATTGTTCCAGACACTGAGAAATTACAGGATACGGTCAGTGGCAGATGTGCACATTCGGCAGAACAAAGCCGACAAAGGAAGCAATAAATTAATAAATATCCAGAACTGAGGTTTTCTTCAGCTTCGACTTTAACCAGTGGTCGATGTCTGTGGGTACGCTGCAAACAAAAACTGCTCAAAGTTAATCTGGCATTATTCTTAATTCACAACGATGAGCTCTCTCAGCGTCTCGTCCTCCTAATGGCTCTAATTCTCTCTTTATTGGTTCAGCTGAATGTTGGTGTTGGCATCTTCCCGTCAATCAGATCAGCAAAAAAACATAATTGACTCAGCGTCTCTTTGTGTCTCTTCAGAAAAAGAACTGTCTGCTGCGCCACGATCGATCCACCCCCTTACTCCACTGCAGAGACATCACAACAAATAGTTCTGCACACGATGTGATGTGAAATGATTGAAGCTGCGGGGTCTGTTCTTCAGCTGCTGCTCGATTAATTTTTTTAAATGGCCTCTAAAGATGAGAATGAAGAAGTAAACAAAAAGAAATAATGGATTTGGGTTTGGTTGGGAGAGATTCAGTTTTTAAAAGACAAATGACTCTGTGAGATGTCTCCTCCTCGTTCCTCACAGGCTGGAGCCCATCTGCTGCCCCGAGGGGCCAAACACAACAGGAGGATTTCAATTTAAAAAAAAAAAAGAAGCTAATTACTGCAAGAACGTGACAAAAACAGAACAAATCAAAATAAAAAAATCATCTTTTAATGATTAATGAAATCTATTTTATGTCACTGCTGAGTCTACAATGATTAATCTGTAGACTGGCACACAAACTTTATATCTCTACTTTGGGGAGTTTCTTCAAATGTTCACCAGTTGTCACTCAAAGATGAACTGAACAGATTTCCGTGGTCAAAGGTCACGGTGACCTCACAGAGTAAAAAGAATTCTGACTGAGCGTGCACCAACTCCGCGGGTTCCGTACTTCGAGTTCTAAATGTTGAGGAAATCATTTCTTTTCAAGACGACTTGGCCGGAGATGACTGACTCTTCATCAGCTTATTTTGAAAAGCTTTTAATTCTCCACAAAAACACACACAGCACATCCGCTGTGCAACTTTGAGGTTCTGTGTTGACGATAAATGATTCTAATTGGGCATTTAGATAACGAGCCGGCAGTGTATTAACTCCAAATAAGACAATATACCACCCACACGTAAAACAACAGTCGTGGCCGGCCTTGAACCTTTGTGCCGACTGTCTTCGTGTGTGCCTGTGTGGTGCAGGAAGCTCTCGCCGTGGGGCCAATCCACTCAGTTGTTTGTGTTTGTTTGAGCTTCATGTAATCGCTCACAGCCTGGGTCTGTTTGTGCAGCGAGTGTGATGCATAAAACACGATGGTTAGCGCTGAGAGTCGGAAACACAAAGTCAGAACTCATCCAACAAAAAGGTTTCAGACACAAAAAAGCAGAGGTAGATTCTGCACCTCCGACTCCAACACACTATCCCGAAGCATCAAGGAGCCACAGAGAACAGTTAGAGCAAGATGCCAGGGAGGTGAAGTAAAACAGGAAATGCAAAAGCACGTCAGTGGAAAAAGACGAGACTGAAAAGAAAACTTTCCAGAAAAACTCTAAAATGACAATATTAACTTATCATTCAAGGAAAAATTAAAATGTTTCCAGACAACTACTGAAGATTTCAGGAAATTGAAGAGGCCTTCAGATATTTCTGGTATATGTCTTTCTATGCCAAGTTATTTATTTACCATAGACAGAGTGTGCTATCACTCTATTTATAATTATTATTATTTAAGTTGTTTTACTTCATCTTGTCCTGGTTAACAAATTGTGTAATGAGTTGGTGCTTTTTTTTTATCCCTGAGTGGTAACAGCAGGTTCTTTTCAGACCCAACAACCTTCACCTATTAGATAATTCAGCCTTTCACTCAGACAAAGACTCGACACAAAACTCGCAGGTTCTCGTAACCATGAGAATAAATAACAAGCGAAGCCGTCTGAAGATGAGCTTATGAACATTTTTATCTATCCTCTTGTCTTCTGGACTTCAGCTGCCGAACAGACAGACGAGAAACATTCAGACAGACTTTAGAAATAAAATCCATCTGAGTCGAGAAATAAGTGACGGCGACAGTGTTTGGTTTTTATTGGATTTCTTTAATTCATCTTAGTGACGTGAGTCTGAGCTGAGCAGATGAATTCAAACCGGTGAATTATGTGAGTCATTACTGATGCAGTAATACATGTCAGGCAATAATGGAGGCATGTAAACACATCATTATCTTAATGGATGGACATGTTCTGTATGTCTGCCCATTAACATGGAGTCGGGATGGAGCGGATTACATAAGATGGAGGTGATTGATGGAGGGCACAGAAATAAAGGAGCCGCGAGTTAACTGCGACTTCATGAGCTCACTGCGACACAGTAATTATCGTAATGAGAGGGTTATGTAACAGATGCAAATGATTAGATCTGAAGTTAATCAGAGATTCATTGCCACAATTATGACAATTGATGAATCGTTATCATGGGTTTCATGGAAATAATAGAACAAAAGCCTGATCACGGCTTCTTTAATGTGAATCTCTCAGCTTTATGTCGTCGTTAATCGTGTTTTTGGATTCTTCATCAGACAAATCGATTTCTGAAGATGTGGCAGTTGGATTGAGTCACATTTGGTGATGGCAGAATCGTGCTGAGGCGTTAGTCTGAGAATACACTGGAAGCTGACCGTCAGATGGTCGGATGAAATTCTGACGTCAGAAACTTTTGGTTGTTTTCATGCTCTCGACGATTGAAGCACAGTCCGACGTACAGCACATACCTCTCTGGACATTTCCTCCATTTTCCCAGAGAATAATTCATCGATCTTCGTCTCACATGTAGGGAACTGACATCTATGAGCGTGTGAAGTTTGATGCAACTTGACTGGATTGAAGGAGACTCGTTGGCATGCGGTACACAGAGTCCGCAGAAACCCCCCCCCCACCCTGAGGCTGCTGCTGTCTGCCCGCCAACACAGAGCCACTGTAATAAAACAGGGATCAACCACTAATCATTTCAGATCAGGTAATCCGGGAGCGCGAGTGTCGGGGTTATGAGCATTTGTGCTGATCCATCACTGAAATCCTGCAGTTCCTCCAAAGCGGACATTAAACACTTAATCATGATCAGAAACCCAAGAGCCAGGCGCTGTGTGTGTGTCTGTGTCTCTGTGTGTGTCTGTGTGTGTGTGTGTGTCTGTGCATATTTAGCCACTTTAGCTGTCAATTCCAGCGCCGCCTGCTGAGATAATGATTGCAAAGAACTCACAGAAAGTACAAAGTGAGAGAGAGAGAGAAAGAAGATGTGACGTGTCGCACAGTGGACTTTGCTTTAAAATGGTTTCAAAACAAAAGGTTAGGTAACTTTAGTTTAGTTCCTTAATTCAGGCCTCGAGCGAGCGAGCGTCGACATTTCACATTAAAGTTGATCTGTGAAACATGTGAGCCGACGGTAGCTGGAATACACATGTTTTAACATGTGTCTGGAGTTACAGAGCAACGTGATCGCACCTCCTGAATGTCTCGGGTCTAATATTTGCTCTGTTTCAGCTCAGGTTCTGGTCTCACTGGGGGAATTATCAGGGTTTTAGTTGCTAAATGCACCGTCGTGTGCTCCAGCTGCTCCCTGCCACTGTTTGCTGCAGAGCAGGTCATTTTTCTCAGGAAGCAGCTTCCTTCAGAGCGGCGAGGGTGAACTAGAACAGTAAATCTGCGCTGCGGACACGCACACACAACGAGCGGAGACTCCCTGGAGAGCTCAGTGAAGCCGAGGGGAGCTGCAGATTCAGCAGATGAGTCTCTGTCAGCTCTTCGCCACAAACGTCTTCCGCTGTCGTGGCTGTAACTTTGTTTTGAGCCCCTCAGAGACCGGACACTGTCTGAGCACCAAGCTGCGACCAGTTCAACACTTAATTTATTCATTGAGAGGCCAGGAGGAATCAAATCATCTGGTAATTATCAAAACCTCAGAGGAACAAAAACAATAGGCTTGAATGTTTTTTTTATCCTGTTAATCATCTTGTGACTCTCTCAGATTTACTGAGGCCTGTTGATAACCACCACTTTATTCCCCTAATGTCTGAAACCGAGAGAGGAGCTCTGTCTTCTTCCCTCCAGGACGATATTTGGAAACTTCAGAAAATACAGGAACGTTTGGGAAATGAGGAAAAAAAAAAAAAAGTGGCCTTTTAAAGTTTCTCTTGCAATAATAAACTCCACATTATTAATAACACCACTGTTATGGAACAATATCAATAAATAGCTGCTGTGTTTGTAACTTCCAGTTTCATTCAGCCATGGACGGATTAGAAGCCTTCACATAGGAAAAGCCCCCCCCCCACCCCCACCCCTCCCTCCTACTTCTTCACAGATGGATGCATCATATATCATGTTCCCCTTCAAATAATGAGCTTCCTCTTGTTTTTGTGGACATTGTGCATCTTATTGTGTATTTTTGTGTTTTTTGTGTGTTTCCTTGCAGTCAGTTTGAGTTTCTTCGTGGTATTTTGTGTGTGTTTCGTCTCGTTGTGGTCGTTTCGTGTAACTTTCTGTTGCTCACTCTTCCGTTGGGGGTTTCATGCACCTCTGAGGGTGGTTTGTCTCGGGGGGCGGGGTTCTGCCACCCCTGGCCCCCACTGGCCCCGCTCCTGTACACTGTCACTCACACAGTCAATCTGTTTCATCTGTTTCTCCGTCCTCTCCAAAGCTTCTGTAAAACCCTGCTGTTGTTTTATTCTCTCCTGATCTCTGCCAGACACCAGCTATCACACAATCCCAGCGTCTGTTTTTAAATGTGAATCGAATGTGTTTTTACAGACGTGAAACACCGGAACGTCTCAGATGTAATTTGAAGGGAAAGGATTTAATCACAGCTGTTTTATTTTTCTATTAATAAGATAAGAATGATCTCTCTTTCTCTGGGTCTTTCTTTCCTCCTGCTTTTACCATTTATGGAGGAATCTGACTTTTGAGTTCGGCCGGAGGAATGTATAATAATCTTATAGCCTTGTGCAGGTGGAAATGATATGCACTGTATGGTTGAGCTTTAGCTATGTTGTTAGGAAAATTGCCAGCAGCAAATTTAAAGCTGGAGTGGGATTTTGTTTTGTTAACATACTGCTCATCTTGTACGTGGAGGTTCTGACATGAACATTACTCTCGATTAGGCAGTTTTTATTGCTCTTATTCTGAAATGCACAAGAGTGTTAAACGGAAACTTTCCTGCTGAGACTGCAGAGTGAACGCTGAGCTGCTGAACCAAGCGGGGAAATGCTTGACGTGATGACGACGTGATGTCGAGGTCACCGGGTCCTCTACAAGCCTCACATAGACACCCAGTATGAAATCCAAACATCTCAGAAAACGTATGGAGTTGGAAAAAGAAGAGATCAGGAACGTCCTGAACGTTTTAATGTTGGGATGGTTGATATCAGTTGAACTACGCACGAGATGGTGGCGACCAAAAAAACATAGAGAAGACGAAACTCACTTATTCTTTAATCTGTTCAAAAGCTGAAACATAAAAAGACTATTCACAAGTTTTTATACGTCGTGAAAAGGTTGATGATGATACGATCAAAACATAAAGGTTACGTCTCTGTCAGCTGGTGACACACGTGATGTAATAA